GGATCAGGGGATCCCAGAGTGATTGGAAGAGCTGAGGAGGGGATATGAGCTGAGTGTTCTTTCTATTAGTGGCTTTAATTTGGTTTCCTGGCTTCCCTCACATGTGTCCAGGTGAACTGTTCACTGACCTATCCCCTTTTTGGTAACACCTTGAGCAAGAACAGAGGCACTGACACTCCTAAGTACTATTTAAGATACTGCAGTGTGGGCCAAACGAAATCCTTTTATCCCGAGACCCATCTCTTCTATGGAAGCTTCCTTCCTACTGCTGTTGCCTCTGAATCCCTATTGCTTTGAGTAAGACAACTTCTGATTGTAATAGAAATTATATAACAGAGTTGCAGTTGTGTTCTCCAAGGCCTGTCTCCAAGGTCTGGATGGCCTCCCAGATCTGCCACCTGTAAAGGAGGCGCCCAGTCTGATAATCCACAGGAAGTCTGGCGACAAGAGAACTTCTGCCTTTCCTGACTTGAACCACCTCTTCAAATGGTGGAGCGGTGAGGGAGGGGGAGGACCACCCCTGGAACAGCCTGAACAGTCTGTAAAGACCTGAGGCCCCTCTCCACGGAGTTCCCCAGTGGATACTGTCCCAGCGCCTGCCTTCACAGCACACTCACAGGGAAGCTCCTCACATGCTGCCACCACCGCCACCGCCACACGGACACAAGGGTCACTTCTGCCTGGACATCCTGGAGGACAAGTGGTCAACCCTACGACATCAGAACCATCCTGCTCCCATGCAGGGCCTACTGGGAGAACCTAACATCAATACGGCTTTGAACACATGCTCTGCTCAATTCTGGAAACACCCACAACCTTTAAGAATCTGCAAGAAACCTTAGGGCAGGTCTCCCCCCAAGAGTCCTGACATGGCTATCCAGCCTGTCTCCTGCGTTGTTTTATTTTTCCTTCAGATGGTTGGCCCTTTCTTTGATTTGTGTACAGAAAAATAAGTCTCTTGTTGAACCCTTAAAATGAGTATAGTAAATAAATACATATGGGAGTTCTTTACAAAAAGTTATATAATGAAGTAACTATACATATTAAAACTTAGAGATAACTATCTCCAAGCCAACAAAAGGAAGAAATTGCGAGGGTATAGAATACTTGATTGATTTGCCAAAAAATGGAAAAGAAAGCAGATATGAAGCAAAGAAAAAGAGGGCTTGAGCAAGAAGACACTAAATTGTCATTTACAAAGGATATGGTTGGCTGCACAGAAAGTTAAAGGGACTCTGAATATAAGAATATTATGTGTTCCATTAGAACTAATTTGTTAGAACTAGGAACAGGGTTCAGGAAAGATGCTGGATTCAAGATCAACCACATTCATACAATACATTCTTACAGCATATTAATAAGAAATGAGAAAAGGAAAAACACATTATTCACAACAGAATCAAAAAGTTTTAGAGACTTAATTAACCTCACACCACCTGTGCAAGCCTTTACTGGGAAATTTACAAAACTGTCTTGAAGACAATAAAAGAAGACCTGAATCAAAGATGCACACAGTGAACTGCAGTGCCTCGGCACTCTTTCTCAGAAACAATCCACCCCCTCTCTTTCCAGAGCTATTCTCTGCAGATACAATCTGTGAGACTAGATAGTTAAATACCTCTTGAAAATCTGCCTCCTTGTTTTGACAGGCAATAGAATTCTGTAGCATACCATCATTTGTTGAATCAGTTCCTCCTGATGAAAATTTAGGTTATTTCTCGGTTTTTCCTACCACATGTAACTCCGCCATGAACATCCTTGTGCATTCTGCTGTATCCATACGTCATTTCATTTGTGGAACGGATTCCTAGCAGTCAAAGTGCTGGGCCACAGCCAGGGGAAAGGGAGGGATTTCACATTTGGTGCCACCATTCGGAAGAGTCCCTGAGATGTTTTCACCTAGTAATCACACCGAACAAGAAAATCTGGACTTTCCCAGGAACTGTGTAGGAGAGACAAGAATGGGAAACTGACTTTGAAGGACTTCAGATTAAAAAAAAAAAGTGGAAACACAAAATAATTTAAGAGGACAGAGCTGTTTTACAGGCTCTGCTAATAAGGAGATAGAGGGAGACAGAAAAACAGATGCAAGTCTAGGCCCTCTACATTGTGCTGGAAACCAGGGGTAATATTTACTTATATTTTTGTGAGATTCATTGTAACTGGTGAATTCGCCACCAGGTATTATTGTTATTTTAGCTAAACCTGTCTGCTTCTATGTATTGGGTTTGACAAAATGTCTTACAGTTTTTTTGGTAAAATAATAGACACATTTTTCATTTTCACCAATAACTTTATTGCTTTGGATATTTTGAGTATGTTGGCTATGCCCTGCATGGCATAACATTGATTGTTCTCAATTAATGTCTCGATTTGATCATTAACAACTTCAGCTGGTCTACCCAACCAGGGAGCATCATCTAGCAAGAAATCTCCAGCACAAATCTTCACAAACCACTTTTGACATGTTCGACTCCGTTACAGCAACCTTCTCCATACACTGCACAAATCTTTTGTGTTTCAGTTGTGTTTCTACTTTCCTTGAAATAATAAAGCATAATATGCCAAAAATGTTGCATATTTTTTTCCATCTTCAATATTAAAATGATTACACAAAAATTCACCAATGTGGATAAGTTTTTTTATGCACACTGATATGACAGTTGTCACCATACAATCTAACAAAATTGTTTTGAATAAAGTTAAAGACAACTACATGCTACTAGAACCTTCTTACAGGAAAAAAAAAAACCCCCACAAATGAACTGTTTAACTATTGGTAAGAAGCTCCTTACCAATAGTTGCCAGCAGCAAATTCCCTTTGGAAGGCTGTGCGGGGACTTGAGAGGCAGAGGAGAGAGAGGGAGGAGAACCGGTGAGCGTGCATTGTCTGTGCCAGAGGGCGGCCGCGGAGGTCAGAAGCCAGGAGCTGGAGGAGGTTGAGCTCCAGGCGCGCAGAATGAAAACTGTGCCAACGGGGTGCTGCAAGGAGCTACAGAGGCCAATCCCTCAATTTCTTCAATCGATATTTAGTGAAGACACCTATGTGTCCTACGCTATTTTAGATGTGGAGGATAGAGCTGTGAACGACGCAGACAAAAGCCTCCCTTTTATGTAGTTACTACTGTGTTTTAGAGTGCAAAGTGGTGAAAGAAAAAGATTAATGAGTACATTTTATAATCTGTTAAATAAGAGTTTAGGAGAAAAATAATAACAGAGAAGACGGCAATTTTAGATGGGATGTTCAGGAACGGCCTCACTGAGAGAGTGTCATTTGAGTAAAGACCAGAAGGAAGCAAGTGGGTGAACCATGTGAGTTCCTAGGTGACTAACAGGGCAGAGAAAACTAAGCACGAAGGCCCCGAGGTCAGGGCAAGGCAGGAGCTGGGGAACAGAGCAGGCGGCCGTGCGGCCAGGGCAGAGCGGGAAGGGGAGGACTGCGGCTGCAGCCCAGCTGACGCTAACCTGCTTCTCTGAATTCAGAACTGTTCTGTACTCACACATGTCCTGCAGAGAATGTTGCTGCTATTCATTTTCAGCACTGCTGGCCTGGCAGCATGATTTCTTTTCATAGAACAAATGCACTGTGGAGTGCACTACAAAGACTTTATCTGTGTCAAGGCCCAGCGTTTTATTTTTAACTTTTATTACTTGTTTTATTTTTCAACTATAGTTGACATACAATATTATATTAGTTTCAAGTGTACAACTTAGTGATTAGACATTTATATAACTTACAAAGTGATCACCCTGGTAAGTCTTAGTACCCATCTAACACCATACATAGTTATTACAATATTACTGACTATATTCCCCATGACTGTTTTTATAACTGGCAACTTTATAAAATAAAAAAAGATTTTTGATATATCTTCACTGTTTGGGGCCGACCCAGGTGATACTTGGGTGCTTGCATCCTGGTCCGGGAGAAAAATATTATTTTTCCTTCTACCCCTCCTAGGTTCTCCAGCAGGGCCCTATGAAATCAGATTGATGAAAGACAGAGTCACAAGAGAAAAACAAACCAGTTTATTAACATGTGCATTGCACGTGTGCATGGAAGCACAGCTGGAATGAGTAACCAAAGGGGTGGTTAGAACTTGCGCTTATTAGCACCTTAGCAAAAGGATGCTTGATTTGTAGAAAAGTGACAAGACAAGGGAAAGGGCTGCCAGCTTTCAGGGGCAGCAGACTGTGAGAAGGTAAATATGTAGGGGAAACTAATAGAATAAAGATTGTTTGTGCAGGTCCACCTTGGTGCCCACTTCCTGTGTTCTTCAGGGCCATAAAACTTTCCTGGAAAAGGTGATTTGTGGAAGTTCCCATTTTCAGAAGTTTCTGCGTTTAGTCAGATAACGGAAGATCCAGGAAGATATCATTCTGTATCTGTTGATTTTCATTTGCCCTCAGGTCAAGATAATCCTAAGGCCAAATGGTCTATTTTGGGGTGGCATATTCTGGTCCCTCACACTGGCAGCAGGCGGGCCAGAGCCCTACTGCTCTGTTCCTTCACTTCTACCAATTCACACTCTTACCTGTCAGATACAGGTGCTAGGTCCCCTTAACTCAGTAATTCTTACGGATTCTGCTACAAGCTCTCAAAGCCTAGTCTGTGGTGATTTATACACTGACAACTTATTAAATGTTCCCTAACATTTCTGTTCTGTCAGCTAGAAGCTCTCTTAGGTCTCTCCCCATGCAAATTTAATTGGCTGTTAGACTGAAAGTAACAAGCATGAAGGTGTAGGAAGGTCATTGAAAGCAAGGCCAGTTTCCTCCAAAATGTTTCTGGGGTGGGGAACAAAACTTACCTAAATTATCATTGCCTTTCTCCTCACTTTACTAAATTAGGAAAAATAGCTTTCGATGTTAGCAAAAGTGCTTCCAAAATCCTGGGTGATTTTTAATGTCAAGACACACATTTGGGAGTGCGGGAGGATTATGGTGGAGAAAAAAGCAACGCACGGTGGGGTTCTGGGTCGGGGTGGACGGCTGGCGGGATGCAGGTGACCTTGGAGCAGCACGGAGAGGACAGTGAAGATCCACCCATGGCTGGTGTCCTGTGCACAGATTCACAAGGACTTAATCTGGGCTGCTGTGGGACCCTGTCAGATAGGTATGCTGGGGTGATACCTGTTCTAGCCCAGCAAGCAACTAAGCTAAACTCAGACCCCACCGACACTCCTGTGGGCTGTCTAGAATCAGATAATGGGACTGTTATGATCCAGAGACATGATGGCATCACTTTGGCAGTGAACAAAATGGCCTCGTGACATCGCATGTCAGTTCTCTCACAGCCTGTTCCAGGGACTGGACCCTACCTATGTTAATTACTTTACAGATGACTGAGGTTTCACAAGTTAGGCCATTCATTTAATGTGCTTTTGCACACTTTGTATTAATTTTAGAGTAAACTGCTTTTTGACACTGTGAATTAGCTTATCAAGATATTAGTTAAAAAGGATTATGTTTTGAAGCAGCAGATCCAGGTCATTTTGTATATAGAATTTTGATATGTTCCGTGAATCTGGATGGAGGGAACAAAAGACATACACATTTGGGGAAAGAATATTCTTTCCTGTTTTGCTATGAAGAAATGGAAATTTTCCCATTATCACACTGAGGGAAGAAAGCTGTTTCAATCAGCTCCTCACAAGTGGTTCTTTGCTAAAACTTTTTATTCATTTACCTGATACATTTATTGAAGCTCACTCAACCAAAATGGCCTAAAGCTAAACTTAACTCCACAACAGAAATGTAAAATTCTCAAGCCACAATGAAATTTCCCGGGCCCTTCCTAAACTGCTTGGAGCCAATTATTCTAAGCCTTCCTAGAATCTAAATTAGAAACCTTTTAACCCAGAAAGCTATTTAGAGGGAGGCATTGATCAGAACAGGAAACACCGTGGAGGCCTTCTCTTTACCTTCCCTCACCTTTCAGGTCTCCCAGCTCATAAATTAACTGGGAAAATAATATCTAGAAGCATAAAAAATTATATAACATACTAAAAATGACATAAGACAACAATATAATAGATACCACAAGATTACATATCTGCCAAATACATGATACTGTATATTCCTAGGAAGGAGAGATCTTTGTGGGTTGGTACAGTCAGGGAGGGCATTATGGAAAGATCAGGTGGTTGTAGAAAGTCCAGAAAGGGCCAGCAAAGTCTCAGGGAGAATTGTCCTTAGATGGATGGGTAGTGACCCCTTCTTGGGGGCCTGAGGAAATCTTGGGACATTTGGGGTTATTGCCAAGAATGGGTAAGCCCCCCTATCTTTTAGAGGGTGGAGGTCAGGGTTTCTAACCCTCTGGCGATACCCAGAAAGTGTCACACCAGGCAGAATTGTCCCTCCCCAAACTCCACCAGCACCTCTAAGTTGAGAAACATTGCAGGATCAAGAGGGAATGTTCTGGGACTAAGGGCTGACATTTTAGACAATAATAAGTAAGCCATTAAATGTTTTGGAGCAATCAGGTAAATCCTTCCCACTCACCTCCCCAAAAAAGTACAAATCATCCCCCAAAAACCTGTGGAAAACTGAAAGATTCTTGCTCAGTGGTACATCAATGCTGTATCACCACTTATAGAACCTTAAGGGTTTGAGCAAGTCTCATTTCTATCGGAGTTGGGTGGGCCGGTAGGGGGAGCTCTCACACCCTACCACTCATGAATTACCCCAAACAAAAAGAGCCCTACTTTCCAACTTCCCCAGCGGGGTGTACTGCTCCAGCAGGAAAAAGAGTGATCTTCACTTTGGCCAATAACCACTCAGCCAATGAAAGACTGTTACAACTTGACCAATGAAAAGCCACACTTTGAACTCCCAGTTTCCTCTATCAGACTCTTTGTTTACAACAACCACTCTGAACTCCCCCTTTCCTCTATAAAATAAAGTTCCTCTCCTTTGTTCTCTGAACTTGTGCATGATTTTACCATTAGACTACATGTCCCAAATTGCAATTCTTTGTTAGTCCCAAATAAACCTATGTTGCTAGAGAAATATCTGGATGTCTATTTGTTTAAAGTCAACAATATAAAGTTTTATCTTACATAAATGGTATTACTTCGCTACTTCTTCATGCATTAAAATGCTTTAATAATCCATACATGTTGCTATCTGAACACCTATTCTATGGCTGTCAGTGGCACGAAGCATCACACGTGTGCACCTACCACATTCTGCCCATTCGATTCTCCAGGAGATTTCCAAACTGCCCCCAGCTCTCCATTGAAGAAACCCAGAATATGTCACCCCGCAAAATGCCTTCTTGACATAAAAATTATTCTCAGATATAAGTAATTAAGAAGCAACAAACACAGGAAAATCTCCTTTTCTGCCTAAGGTAAGATATAAATTCTCCTTTTACTGGAGACCAACCCTTAGCCCAGAGATGGCACAAAAGGAATCTGCAAACAAACCTGCCTCCTCCAGTTCCCTCCCACACATTTACCTTCCCCCCGTTCACCACCCTACAAGGCTAAAACTTCTTTCCTTTATACTGTCATTGCTCTACAAATGTGCTGTTCTTTGTTGAACATGCTTTATAAGCTAAAATTTTAAGCCACTGCACTGAGTTACCTTTTGTTAAAATTTCCTGCTGATATGCGCTGCATGTATTAATGAACCGTTTGTTTTTTTCTTGTAAATTTGTTTCTTTGTTAAAGAATCCCAGCTGAAACCTAAGAGGGGTAGAGGTAAAGTTTTGCCTCCCCTGAATCATCCTCTCACACACCATGGCAATGAATACCCTTCTATAGATCCCCTTTTCACTATAATTAAGAATGGAGTTCTTGGATCAGAGGGTAAAATAGCGTGTATATCAACTATAGGGGGAGATAAATGAGGAGTGACATTTTAGTAATTAATATGAACAAGCTATGAAAAGTGATTGTTTAGAAACTCCACATTGGCAAGTCCAGAAAAAGAGAGGAGAACACACAGCCATTTGGGATGTACAAAGGGTGAAGAAGAGAAAGTAAGAACAAGTGGGAAAAACACTGTTAAGATCAAACAAAGAGGAAGAAGACAGTCAAAGGCCCTGAAAAGCAGACAGGAGTGACAGGAAACAAGATAGTGCACACAATTGTCTCTTAAAACCAGCATTCCCTTGAGAACTAGAAAAGGAGCTCCCCTGTGCTGAACCTTATGCTTTAGAGGGTTCCCAGTCTTGCTCTCCTCCAGCTGCGCCCCTGCTCACAGAGCCAGGGGTCGAGGTGTTGTGCCCACAGTAGGCTGTGCTTCCCCTGCTAGACCAGGCTTGAGGTACAGGAAGTTTGACTCCATGCCCCAGTGGTCCTACTTCCAATTCCAGGTCCTGCTTGGGCCTCTCCCCTGGTCCAGCTGTTTGAGAGAAAGCACCACTCTTTATACCCTTCAGCCCAAGGGATAGGCAAGGACAGCTATTGCTTTGTGTGTGGACAGAGCAGAGACCTACCAGCTGGTATGTCCAGCTACTTTCCAGATATGGAAAAGTAAAGGAGGACAGGCTGTGTTGGACCATAGGTCAGAGGGGATGTAAGAGCCTGGCCTTCCACCTTCAGGTTCCTTTGAGAAACTTAAAAGGGAACTGCTAGTCGGGGTGGAGGTGTTGATGGCAATTTGCAGCAAGAGGTCATTTGAATGAGACTAGGGAGGGGAAGAAAAGTCCTAAAGCTCTAACATTTTGACCCTCACAAAGTAGCTGGTGGTGGGGCAAGGGTAGAAGTATTAGATGAGTAAACAGTCCATCCTTAGGAGGGATAAAGGGGTCTCTCCCACAGAAAGAGGAAGAGAAAGTCAGGAGGAAAATAGGAGTGAGAACGGGCTGCCCAGCAAGTCAAAGAGAAATCCCTTCCCTTCCATTCCTCCTGCCAGAGCCCAGTGGCCATTGCCAACAAACCTTTCAGAAGGAATCGCTATCTTGGCAAATATGAAATTAATTTGGACCTGCACTGTCCACAGATATTTGTTATAAACTGTTGCTTTACACATAGTTTTGAACTTTTTCATTGCCAGGGTATATTTGCCATTCTAGAAGCATATAACATATTTATTTATATGTGTGTGAGTTTGTTTTATAACTTTTAAGGACTTAGACATGTGATACAGAGGCCTCCATTTACACTCTTGCCAGATCCTATACATGTAAACCGATAACGGTCTGCCATTCTCACCTTCTGAGAAGTCAACGCCAGTGTGTGGTCCTCCACGATGAACCAGGAACTGGGCTGTACTTGGGTCACTTTATTTAAACCTCCTAGCAATTTTATGAGATGGAGTAGACACCTGAACAAACTGAAAACCGAAGAGGTTAAAATGCTTGGCCAAGATCACGTAGTTAATAGCCAGGACCTAGAACTTCAACAAAATTCTTCACAACACAAAGCATTTTCTTTCCACTAAATTAGGCCTCACTTTAATCCAGTGTTGAGATGTGGGTACAATGGCAATTTACTTGCTCTTTGATTTTATTTTCACTTAGAATGGGAAAAATGAACTAACAACTGTATCTTAATCCAGATGAAGTGTCTCCTTAGAGAGACCCAGACTCTACAAGCTTGTTTTTCCCAGTCTCCTCATAATAGTCGCGAGACGCCTTCCAAAGGTTCCCAAGGTACTCCTTTGGAAACACAGTTTGGCTTCTGGGAAGGCCAACAGATTTCATTCAATGCAACGAGTCAGGCAAGAAACTGTTCCTAACTCTAAAATAAAATGAAAGAAAGGGAACTACTGGGATAGGGGATGTGCTCTGAAGTCGCTGGTATGTGTGTGTATACCCATGTATGCATGTGTGTACATGCATGAGTGTGCATGTGTGTGTGTGTCTGGAGAGGGAGAGACTGAAAATAACCTGCAATAGCCAAGTTTGTGATTCATATTTTTGCATGAATCACTGACAAATTCTTTCTGCTGATAAATATCAGAGCCCTTTTACCAGTTTTATTCCTCATATTTAAAAATTAGCTTCTATTTTTAGATCCACTGAAAATGTAAATGTCAAGGAAATGAACACATTTCCCTATTACTTTTATTATCTTTTGAAACCACATATCTGAGCATGTTATTTCCTTACTCTAAAATACTTCAGTGGCTCCAACTGTCTATAGGTCAAATCTCAGTTCTTCAACATGACATTCAAGGCCTTTTAATACCTGAACCAAGCCAATGATTTCAACTGCAGTGCTTGCCATTCCCTGCACATTCTTTCCTCTTAAAACATTCCAGAATACATGCCATTCTTCCTCCAACAGGCCTTACCATCTCATATCAGGCGGCTGATGCT